ATACACACACACACACACACACACACACACACACACACACACACGCACGCACGCACACTTTGTTCATTTTTTTCTCTATATAATTTCTCTGATCTTTACTTTCTGTTGGTAATTCCACTTTTACACTATTATTGTTTATGATAACATAGAGCTATAAAATTCTATAGTGTGAAATTATAGTTGCTTTTTGTTTACTGAAATGTGTTACGATAAACGTGCATGCTATCCCCTCCCAGTCTTTGGCCTCTTCATCAACCCTCTTTGGTTGGTAGCTCTGGCACTGAAAAGGTTATTGCCAAAATGAGCATGTGTTGCCATAGTTTGGAATTCAGCTGGATCTGCTTAGGCATTTCTAGGGTTATAAACACACATCTCTGCCAATTTATTTTCTCTTGGCAAAGGAACTGTCTTCAGTTGTAGAGAACAAAGGATACAATACGGTAAACGGCCTGAAGGTGAAGGAAGGATTTTTTTTTTTCATTGCAGCGGCCAGAGAGAAAAAAAATCCCCCAGGGTAGACTTTCTCTCATTCCTGTTGCTACTTATTTTTCTCCTCCTCTCTGTATAGATTGAAATCCTGGTGGCAGAACTAGTCTATGTGGAAAGAAAAAAAAAATCTGATCTGTGTTCATGTCAGCATCAGTACAAAAGAAGTCTGTGTCATATTGGCAGCCATTCCTTACGAGGGTTTTTTCCTTCATTTGTGTCCTTTCTTTTCAATTTTTTTTTTTTTTTTGCAATAAATGAGAAGCTTTTATGTAGCGCTCTTCATAAACGGTACTGAGTAGGAGGGTATGGGCACACTTTCTATTATTGCTCCCCTCATGCATTTCTCCTTTCTTCGTCTTTTCAGAACCACACGTTGAGCCAGCACACACAGTGAGCCGGTGGCACTACAGGACTCCTCTCCGCAGAAGACTTGACGGAGGCACAGTGGGATAAACCATTTGAACATTACATCCAATCAAAGTGTCATTTGCAACCCAGATGTAAAACTCTAATGATTTGGCCATGAGGCGCTGCTATTATAAGCAGCTGGAAATGAATATTAATGGGAGAGATTAAAAGTATTTCATGCTCAGTATTTTATTGTCCTGCTTCTTACTAGTGTTCTTTACAGCTTCTGACTGAATTTATAGTGTTAGAATAATCAGTTCCAATGATGTTGTCTTTTGTTACTTATTGTATTATATTGATAGTTCAGAGCTTGAAGTGTTATTTTTTGTTTTAATTTTGCATTATTTACTTGTTATTTTTTTTACTTGTGTGTTTTTGTGATGTGATGGATTGGCAGCTGTCTATTCCATTTTCTAACCTTCTTTTTTTTTGTTTTTGTTTTTCATTTTGTTTAATTTTTTTTATTTTACTTAAACAAGAAAACGAATGCTTTGATTGGATTTGTCAGTTCACAGAGGACAGTCTAATGAATATAATCAGCAACTGGATGGTCTACTTTTTAAATGTGACTTTATCTGATTTGCAATGACTAAAGTAAAGTTCAATAAAGGAAATTATGTTTAAAACAAAGTCTTGTCTTAAATTGTTCCTGCATTGATTCAAGCTTCTGTTTACCCATCTCCTGTGGTATCTAGGCATCCAGTGCCCTTGTTATTGGAAGCTTGATTTTTGACATACCTCATTCTAATACCAATATTAACATGTCTAGCGCACATAGACATTTGTTTAGAGGTAAACGATAGTCTTTGTTTTGTGTGTGAATGCAATGAGCTTAAATGATCAGTATACGTTTATTACACTTATCCTTGTTTGGCCAAATACCCTCTCCCAGCAATGTTCCATTTGGGCTATCTATGCACTTTCAGCCATAGATTCCTTTGAAAAGGAATACTTCCATCCCAGCAGTGTATGGCCTTTGCATTGGACTGATTAAACATAGGTGTGAGTATTTGGGCCCAGATGAGAGAATTTAATGTATGAGGCCATGCTGGGGGGAGAGCATTGGGGGCTAATAAGGGAAGTGTAATTTAAAGTGTATTTCCACTTTTGCAGCCAAATTGAGAACACCTATTTTATAATTGTTAAACGTTCCGATGAATATAGCATAGGGTAAAACATATTTTAAAAATGCTTCTTGCCATTTCAATTGCTCTTACTTGGGTTAAGGTTTCTTAGCTTCTTAAGGGTTAAAATGTCTACTTTCTTCAACTTCTTTGTAATGTTAAGGTGCCCATACACCTTACAACCATTGCAAGACTTTTTTTTCTTGCGATAGTTGTAAGGTAATTTTAAAAAATCTTGGACAGGCAGATCATACTTGCGATCATCGCTCTGATCATTGCGATCCGATGACTGCAATGCTGAACGGGCAGTGTGCGCTTGCGCACATGGCCCATGTGGCATTTGTCTTATGAGCAGGCCACAAACCCGCCGACAATCGTACGATTCTCGGCGGGTATTTGAGCCTGCTCGTAAGACAAAAGACATGCGACCGTACAGTAGAAACGGTCTCACGCCTTCCATACACCTGCCGATTATTGTACGATCGTGGGATTTCCCGTGATTATCGTACGATAATCGGCAGGTGTATGGGCACCTTTTAGAAGGGAACTTGGATGGGAGGGTTAGAAACTGTTTACATCTGCTCTATTTTAAGGATGGCATTAATAACATGTTACAGTAATCGTCTTCTAAAATGTAAAAATAAAGAGAGAAAATCCAATTGCCACAAAAACAGCAATAAAAAAAACTTACTCTTCTGCAATCTGTCCAAAACAAACACAAAAAACAAAAGTTTTGGCTGAAGTTGTGCTTTATTGAATCTCTGTTTGGCTTTTATTGCTTTTAGTCAAGTTTAGACTTGACTTACAGATCTTCTCAGAAGGGAAGCGGTGAAGCAGAATCACTGTGTGGTAGTTCAAGCAGGAACTCTGTGCTGAACTTGAGACTACATTATATTTAACAAGTTGGCCACCACTGTTCATTTTAGTTGTCCTAATTGTTTGAACCATTTGGTAAGTTATTTATTTGTCTTTATGATCTAGTTCAGTGTTTCCCAAAGCTGTTCCTAAGACCCACCAGCAGTGCATGTTTTGCACCTCACATTCATCCTAATGGATATCCATAAAACATGTCCTGTTTTATGAGTATATGTTTGTGAAGCATTTACTAACCTGAAAATCAGCTAGCAGTTTTGAAAAATATAGTCTAATCACCGCTCAAATCTAACCCTAATCATGACACTATAGCAGCAGTGATCAAAGTTTACAAATGTGAAATATCAATACCACCACGCATACAAAACATTTATACTCTTAAGTGTTTCTCACTATTAAAAATGCATACATTAAATTAATAAGTGTCCAACCTTCACGATAAATAAGTGAATAAATATTAATACATTAAAAAAGTATTCAATTCAGTAAATCCAATGTGAATCAATGTCCCTTTTAAATAACCCCACATTTATCAAGTACTCCAATGTGCAAAAAAAAGTCAGTTTTCATGATAAAGTGCTCTTCAGTGCAGGGTCACTTTAACCCATGTGAACAATTTTGCAAACTGTTCACTCACCAGAGGTTGTTGGTCATTTGAAATAAAATCATTATTATTATAATACAGGATTTATATAGCACCAACAGTTTGTGCAGCGCTTTACAATATAAGGAAGACATTACAATACAATTCAAGACAAGATGGTAAGGAGGGCCCACAATCTAAAAGGGAGGGGCAAGTGATACATAAGGAGGTAGCTGTGTGGGGATGATTGTTTGAGAAAGTGATCGTTGAGGTGGGATAGGCTTCCCTGAAGAGATGAGTCTTACGGGATCGCCTAAAGGCAGTCAGAGTGGGAGATAGACGGACAGATTGAGGTAGAGAAATGACCAAATAGCTTATTCTCTTGAGCAATACCTGCATTAACCTACTCCCTTTATCCAGGTTGGAACCCGCACTAGAAGTAGTTCTTCCCCATAGAGATTACTTAACCTCTATGGCGGTCTGTTTTTTTCCAATATTTTTTGCTTTTTTTGTCTTTTTTTCCCCATTTTTTCGATTTCTTTTTTTAAAGTTCCGCCCCCCTGAGACGCGGCCGCTCCCAAGGGACGGAAGCCGGATGCCGGCATCGGCCAGAGGACACAACGCGGCTCGTAGGGAGAAGGTAAGTGAAGCGCTGTGTAATCCCGATTGTGTGACTTGGGGTTACCGCTTTTGGTACTGAAAATTAACCCCGAACCACACTTGGGATTACCGCCAAGAAGGTTAACTCCTGCAAAGATAACGCCCTCCAAATAACTCTATTGGATTCCTCCCAGAAAAAGCTTCTTTTCAATGGGCCATCACTCCACAGCCCAAAGAAAACAGATACTGCCCATCGTGCAAAACCGCTAGATAAGTTATAAAAAAAAACATGTATTGCACTTACAGGTTAAAAATACGATCATGCACTTCACAGGACATTTCTGGTCGTACCAGTGTCTCGGTTTCAGTGCACCCGGCCCTACTTGCACGTTTTGTCTTTAGACTTCCTTTCCAAGGGAAGGCGTGTATACTGACACTCACTATAACACCAAATATATACCTGTGCTCCAGTTTTGGAGCCATGCATACAGAAATCCAGAAAATGTGTTTTGTATACAGCAAACAATGTGCCTTTGTTATTCGCATATGAAGGTCTTATTGCATTTTGTTATGATCACATCAAACCAAGCTTCTTTGCACATGCATGGAAGATGTAAGCTAAGGCAGAGGAGCAGACCTAATATGCAACAATATTTTGGGCATTCCAATGTAAATGTTATTAATGCCAATAGATTCACCACACAAAGCACCATGTCTTTGGTGGTTCTTACAGACTCCCACATATGCAGATATTGTATTCAATAAGAATATAATAAAATTTAGTAAATATTAATACAATTATAATAACACAGAACATTTACAGTAAAAAAAAAACTCAAGTTATACTTAAAATTTTACTGAGATTAAAGGAAATTTATGCTGACAGGAATATATTGGTTGACATTTTTGAGCTTCTTGTCAATTGCATGCATGTCTGTGGATTCAGTCCTTTTTGAGTCGCTGACCCTGAATACACATGCATCGGGTAAAGAATCTGCCAGCAAAATTTAAAAAAATCAAACTTACTGCAGATATAACATGCAGGGACATGAAGGTGCCTGTACAAAATCTTGACTATTCTGATTTCAATGCACATTACTATTTGGCCTGTGAGGTAGATACAATATAGGAGTGTGTGGGGGGAGTGGTGGCATAATGACAAACTACCCAGAAATTAAGGAGCTTTGCCTGTCAGGGTGGGATATTGGTTGCGACGAAAGAGTGGCTTCTTTCTATATACCTGCAGCATTTATTTTATTTATTTTAATAAAAGGTTGTCTTTAGATTCCCTTTTAAGTCGGGCCTCTTGATCTGGATGTTTTTTTCAGGTAAGGTAAAAGTGCTAAAGCAACTATCAACAAGGCAGCCAGACAACTAGTATTTTCAGAAATAGGAGCCTATATATTTTGCTCAAAGTGTATTTCCACATTTGCAGTCAAATTTGAGAAAACCCCACTATGCTAGGTATTCCCATTCATACAGCAAACCAAACATTTATATTTGTAAAATATTTATAAGAAACATATTTCGTAGCTTTTTAGACATTTTGGTGCATCAGGCAAAATGTCTGAATCCAGGTTTTCTTTTTCTGAGCACCTTCACCCTGATCTGTCATCATAGAAAGACTTAGGGGGACATTCACTAAGGAGCCGAAGGATATAGCCATAGCTTCTGCTCACTTCGGCCACCGGAGCCCTTCGGTTCAGCCGAGCTGAAGGGCTGTTGTACGGGCTATTCACATAGCCCGTGCAGCAGCCGAACAGCTCAGCCGAGCCGAACGCATATGGCAACGCACATGAGCCAGAGTCAGTCAAAGCGGGGAGAACGGTCTGATGATGCCGACCGTGCTCCCTGCAAAGGTAAAACAAACAAAAAAATTCAAAACCGGCGTGCGCTCCTCCTCCTGATCTATACCAGACCCTTCACGTCTGGTAGGAAAGTCAGGAGCCCGCGCTGCGCCCCCGCTGCCACACGAAGAAAT